GGAGAGGAGAGAGATGTAGTGTTGGGGTGAGTGTGGGCTGGGGCAGGCATACTGGAATGGCAGCTCCAAGGACTGGTGTGTCGGCATGCAGGTCACCACTGGACCCCAAGGCCTGTCTCGGGCCTGCACATCAAAGGTTCTCACACGGCCCAAATGGACAGATGGTGCCCGCCCACCTCTCTGTCCTCTCCTATGCAGACCTGATGGCAGGCTCCTGGCCTTTCATATCTCCCATTCCTCTCTACAGTCTCACTCTCTCTGCAAAGGTGCCTCTCAAACATCTAACCCTCAAGACCTGTCCCATATATTGTGTGTACCCCCATGTCCCCCAGGCCACTGCCCCAGGCCCAAGCTGTCAGGGACAGAAGGGGTCATCTGGCCCCCACTGACCAGTCTGCCCTGGGACTCTGGATGTGGAACCATGAGACTGTGGCTTCTGGATCTTCTGAACTGAGAATGTATAACTTGGGTGGCCACATGCATGAATGTACCAGGAAGAGATGGGGTGGGAGACATCAGAGCAGGTCATGAGCAGAGGCAGATGAGGCAGGCCCTGAGGAAAGGAGGGAGGACCAGGTGCGGGCACCTCTGAGGCTCAGCTGCACCTGCTGGGACTCCGTGAGCCCTGGCCTACCTGGCCAGGCTAGAGGGGTGTGGATTCTGGTTCCCTGCAGCCCCATGGCCTGTGTGTCAGGTGCCTCCCTGTGGCTCTGGACATGAGTCTGTCTGCCCTGCCACTCAGTGCTTGAGGCCTGTGTCCTCGATGCCCAAGGCCACCAGCTGGTGTTTCCAGTCCCAGCACATAGGAGGGATTCAGTATGTTCTGTATGTGTAACAGACCCAGGTGGCAAGGAAAGACCCAGCACATCTGCCAAACACCCTGCCAGCATCCTCGGTTCATCTTCCAGGGCAAGCCACTGAGGGAGGGGACCTGCACATTTGGACGGATATGTGTTGTACGGTGACCATTCAAAGGCCACGTGGTCAGGAGATGCAGAACCAGAATGTGAGTCTCACTCTTCAAGTTGCAAGTCAGATGTTCTTTGTTTTGCTGGGTTCCTTATGGAATTTTCTGGGCTGCTTTTCCTCTCCTTCTCCTGCAGAGAAAAGACCTGAGACATCACAAAAGGTGGGGTCTGAGGAGTGAAGGCGGCAGGGCTGGAGGCTCTTTTGGGAAGCTTTGTGGTCCTTCCCGTAGCCGCTTCCCGCGAGCCTGGTATAGACAGGGCTGGAGGTAGTGCCAGCCCAGTCCACCATCCAGCCTAGGAATGAAGTCGGCATTTAGGAAGGAGGCAAAACACTTTGATGGGCCCCTCACAGGGGGCCCTGCACCTGTCCCCAGGTCTTGTGGCCTTAGTAGCTGGTGTCTCGAAGGCAGGTGAGCAGTCTGGATAGGACTAGAACCACCAGGAGCTGCACCTACGTCTCTGCTATCCTCCCAGGTGATGCTCTGCACCCACAGATGAGGGCTGGGGCCTTCAGAGATGGAAGGGCAGGACACCTTGCCACTCCTAGGACCCACTCACATGCGCTTTCGTGGCAACTGGGACCCCAGAGGGCTGCTGCCAGGGAATGGCAGTGCTTTCGGTGGCCCCTGAATTCCTTGGACTTAGAATCTGGGCAGCTAAACTAAACAGGGGCAAAGAAGTCACCAGTTCTTTCTAGAAGGCTGGCAGGCTGTGGAGCATCCATTGGCTCTTCAAGAGCCTTGCTGGCTGGAGAGAAAGCTTGGGGCATCCCCTGAGGGACACTGACCTCTGGTGGCTTCAGACACAACAGCAAACTGGGGGAAAGATGTTAAAACAAACATTTATTTAACAAATTATATTAAGAATACACACAATCACACAGTGAAACTTCCCTTTGCCAAGTACAAGAGTCACCTTGAATAAATACGTAGTAAGGACATTGTCCCCAGGGGCCTCGTCAAAGCCTGACATGGTCACAGCAGCTCCACAGCCTCTGCTGGGAGAATAAAGCCCTGTCTTGGGGTGGTGACCCCTTGACATGTACTCAGAACAGATGAAGAAGGCCAGCTGCCCTGAGCTTTCAGGCAGCCTGAATGTGAGTGATCAGCTCGGGGAGTGAGAGTGGGCCCGGCTCCTGCGTAAGGTGGACAGAAGACCGGGTTCGCTCCACCTCTACATGGCTTGGAGGCCATGGCTGCTGTATCAGGCTCTCCTCTGCATTCATCTTCAGGCCCACCCAGTTCCCAGAGACACTGCAGGCTAGGATTCTCCACAAAGGCCTGCGGGCTCAGGGGCCCTTAGGGTGGAGCGGGCCAGGCAGGCAGCTCCTGACCATGCTCAGTGCCTGCTGCACAGTGACGGCCGGGAAGTCCATGACAGGACTGGAAACAAAAAAGTCGGCCTGAGGCATGTGCTTATGATGGGACAGCCAGCCCACGGAGCGCTGGGGCCAGATCCTGACTCTGCCACTTAGGCAGCCTTGTGCCATGGACAAGTCCTAGCTTCTTCATCTGCTACAAGGAGCAGAGAACATCTACTTCGGGTTATTTTGTTTTGAGAGGGAACAATAGAAAAAATGTGCTTAGGATGCCCAGCCTAGAGACTGGCCAGGAGCAGGTGCTTAGTACATGTTAGTCCTTCTTGTCTTCCCACTGACCTGTGGGTTGCAAAGCGGCAGCCACCCGGTATCAATGCTTCTCCCCACAAGATGATTGCAGGCACAGGTGACTGCGCTCCTGACCAGCAAGTGAGGGCAGTGAGGGTCTAATCTGCTACTTCTTCATTGGGCCCCGACCAGGCCTCATCTCTTCACATGGCAAGGTGTGGCTGGTATTCATAGACTGGGGATGGGAAAAAGGCCTTCACTATAAATTTGCAAGTGAACTTGGAGCAAGCCACCTACTCCTTCTCACCTTTGTGCCATTTCCAAGGTCCTTGGAAAGATACTTGAAATTTTCAGAGAGAAAAGGGGAGGCAACAACAGGGAACGCGTGTGCTCTGGTCTTTTTGGAGGGCCAGTGGGAGGGACAGCAGCGGCAGTGGGAAGTGCTGGGGGACCCAATGGGTGAGGCCAAGGCCCTTCACATTTCCAGAAGCATCCTTATCCTTCCCTTCCCACAGTGGCTAGAAGGTTTGTGAAGAAAAGCAGTTTCCCAAAAGACACAAGGGTTGCGTTCCTAGGTGTGAGCCACAGCTCCACTTTTCAGATTTCTCATGGTCTACACGAGCCCGCATGGGTGCTCATGTGTACACACACACACACACACACACACACACACACACACACACACACACACACTCGCTCATCCTCATCCACCTCTCAGAGGGCAAGACATGGAGGGTTAGGAGCAGCCTAAAGCCTACCACAGATACCGACTTGTCCTAACACTGTCACTGCCTAACGACCTTAAGCTGCCGTTTACTACAACTTTCACAGTCAATGTTCTTAAGTCTGTAGTGCTACAGGGAAGGTCACACTGCTTGCCTGAGTCCACGGGGTTTGCCCTCTTGTGGTGGCCCTGTCCATCCCAGCAACTGCAGGAGGGCATGGGGCGAGGATGCCTGGCTGGGCCCCCAGCTCAAGCAGGACCTGTGGGGATGTCACTGGGGGTTGCGGGTTCCTCTCTTCCTTTCCCCAGGCCCCACCCTCACTGCTGGCTGCCTCCCGGCTCGCTGACAAAGGATCCTGCGTCACGACCTTTGAGGAACCCGGGACCTCAGGGCTACTGAAAGGCCTTGTTCCCAGTTGAGGGGGAAGGAAGGGCCGCCAGCACCGTCGGGAGGATCTCAGAACCAGGGCATGAAGCGAGGTCGAAGGACAAAGTGCACAAACCAAAATGAAGCAAGCAGAAGTGATCAGAACTCTGCCCCTGGCCCTCTTGTCACCCCCAGTCTGCCAGACGCCACCCTCTGTTGGGCCTTGTCACACAGGCTGCTTGGTTTTGAAGCAGCCACCACCGCAAGAGCAGCAGTAGACACAGGTTCTGTGGGCTCCACAGGGCTCCTCAGAAACACACCCGCCTATTTTAACAGGGACGTCTGAGGCCAGTCCGTTCAGTTCCCTCCTGGATGTCAGTCCCAGGACAGGTCCTCACAACTCCTGTCGTGACCCCACGGGCCCTCTGGGACCTGGCAGGTCCCATGAACTGCTCTTTCCTGTGCTGCGCTGCCTGGAAGGCATGGGAAGGCCGCCCCCACCAAGGGCGTCCGGGTCTCAGGGAAGGTGGTGCAAAGCAACCGCTCCCCTTGTCCACAGAACTCAGAGGTATCCAAGTGAAGATCCAGGGGTGACCCAGGAGGAAGATGGGCCCACGCGGGGCCTGGAGACGAGGGGCGGTGCAGGGACTTGAGGTATTTCTTGCCCCGCTGCCTCTTGGCCAGCTGCGTTGGCCGGTGCTTCCTCCTGCTCCTTCGGGCCTTGGCCATGGACAGCCTGTGGGCCGCCCCAGGATCTACAGCGGGAAGGCCTTCCCTGGGGAGGCAAGGCTCCATGGCCCCACACTGCAGCCCAATGCATCATAAGCCCTCATGGACCTAAAGATATAGGACACCCACACTCTAAGAAATGAGGAGAAATATCAGATGCCGCAAAGCCGAGCTGCTAGAGGCACCAACAACCATCATTCTGGCAAATGCGTGTGGTTAGCAGACTTGACGCCCAGCACTGTGAGGATGCCAGCACCAATGGGCACTCAGGAGAAATGTCAGTTCTGGCCCGAGTTTGTTGACCTGGGTCAGAGGGACTTATCAGAATGTGTTTCTGTTTGCAGATGCCATCAAGACATAGTCTGGCTTGGAGAGGGCCTGGGTACCTGCATGCCCATACCCTTCCAGGGCCGGTATCTCTCGGAGTGGTCGTTTATGGCCCTGCAGGGGTGCGTCTCTGCAGTCCCTGGGTCAGGGTACAGGGCCAAGGCAGCTGGAGCTGTTGTTGGCACGTGGTTGTTCCACAGATGAGCCCTGGTGGGGGTGCCGTGGACGAGCATGGCACCCAGTGGGGGGCCAAGCAGGGCCCTCTCCATAAAGCAACATCCCGTCCACGGGCTATGGGGCATGCTGCTCCTGGTCTTCAGGCGTTCCGTGTGAAGAGATGTCCAAAGAGGGGCAGGGGCCTTGCCAGGGTTGCTGGCTTCCTCCTCCCGCATGTTCTCAGGGTGCTGTGAAATACCGTGGGGAGGGAGACTTGTTACAGGCAGCCCTGGGCCTGGAATAATAAGCTAGCCCTGAGGGTCCTATGCAAAGCCGCCAACCACCAGGGTCTTCCAGGAGGGAAAACAGTGGCTTAGTGGCATCTGCCATGGCAGGTGACAGGAGAGAAGGGTGGGTGTCACTGAGCAACTGGAGCAATTACCTGGGGCCCCAGGGTGACTCTGTGGTGGGTGGGGATTTTGTAGGATGACTGGTCATCACACAGACACATTAGGAGTTGCTGGTCACTACAGCACACACAGATTAGTTGTGGTTATGAATGATGTCCCCAAGGGAGGCTGGGGTGCCGTGTCAGGCAAGCTGATGACAGGACACATCCACTCAGCTGCTCAGAGTCCCCGGGCTGCCCTGGTGGGCAGTGTGGGAGGAAGGGTGGCGGAGGTGAGGGGGGCGGGCGAGGGAGGGGAATGGCCCGCAGCCCCAGCCGCCTGGTCAGTAGTCTGGCGGTCATATTCTCCCCGCAGGTGGCCGCTGGCTCAGGACTGCGGGATCTGCTGGCACCTGGTGGGGCTGGGCGGGAGCCTGGCGGCGGCACTCTGCTCCGTGCGGAAGCTGTACTCATACTGCAGGGGAAGGCGGGGACAGAGAGACATCGTTAGTCCTCGGGACACCAGAGGCTGTAGACCCAGGGCAGACAGAGGCACAGAGGCTGCCTTGAGGGCCTCCAAACGCAGAGTGGCTGGCCAGACTGGTGCCTGCCAGAGCCTGCCCTCTGCGGGCCCTCTGAGCACACATGCTGTGCCTGTGAACAGTGCCCATCCCTGCCTGCCCCCGTAAGGCGAGACCACAGCGCCAGCAGTGAGCAAAGCCGTGGCGCCACCAGCAAATTCTTGCCAGCCCCCACCTACAGGTCTGTGCTAGGGGTCTTGGCCTCCTGCCTGGCAGGACAGTCTCATGCTCCATAGGCAAGGGGCAGATTCTCGACTCAACCCCAAACCTAAAAGAAGCACCAAGCTCTGGACACCCCTGTTGTGCTTCTCTGCTGGAAGCAGAGATGTCTCCTCATGGATGTCTCCTGGGTGACCCAGAACCCAGGAAGGGGCCTCCCAAGCTGTCCCCAGTGCCACACCATACCTCCACATGCTTTGCTCAAGGAACTGTCGGAACCATCCCTGATGAGGGATGGGGCAGGCCACAGAGCTGGACCAGGGCAACTGCCTGGGGCAGCAATCTTCCTCCACTTAGCTACGCCAGGGCTTAACCCTCCTGCTCAACACTGAGTTTCCAAACTGACCCCAGGTGGTGGAAGGAGTTCCAAATCTGATGGAAACTCAGGGAAGGGCTAAGTACTTTTGATGGGGGGAAGGGGTGCCAGCAGTCCACCCAAGGCCAGCTGGGATGTCAGTGCCCAAGTGCAGAGGGTGGGCGCAGGTGTGGGTATAGGTAAGGAGTACCCACTTGGGCAGGGACAGGCCTGTAGCTGCCTGGCCAGGCATAGTGGACAGTGCAGTTGGGAGGCTGTTGGGGCCGGGCTGGGGTTATGGGGAATGGCCTGGAACGCTACGCTAAGGCAGCTGTGTGGTCATCCAAGTTTCAGGAAGGAGAAATTTAGGTCAGGCCAGTGGTTGCCAGACATTCTGAATATTCAAAAAACCTTTAGCAGTAGAGCTGCCACACAGAAGCCTCCCCCACAGAATAGATGGAAGCGGGGCTGCCACCACCATGACATGCAGCTCCTTGGGGGACACCTGGGGATGGGTGGGCCAGGAAGGGAGGCTTTTGGGAACAAGGCAGTTAAACCACTCCAGCAGGAGGCCAAGCACCGCACCCAGCCCAGGGAGTGCTGTAGGGGTCCCTATGGCCCATCCTCAGGTGCGCTGTCAAGGCTGGGCCTGCCCTGCCCTCCCCAACCACCCACAGTGGGCTGCCTGCAGCAAAGGCCGGGGCCACGCCCAGTAAGGGGGGCCGCAGGGGCTGAGGCCTCCAGGAGCAGAGCAGAATTCAAGCCATCAGAGCATGAAGGGGTACAGGAGGGCTTTTTCTCTGAAAGTGGAGAAAGGATGGGGAAGCTGTGGTAGCTAGCAGACCCAAAACCCAGCTGTGGGACCACAGCCACCCCTGCTTAAGGCAGACTCTGCAGACCCAGGACGAATGGACAGACACGGGTCCCAGATGGGCCAAGGATGGCCCTGTCCCTGAGTGGACAATGGGTTGACCAGACTGTGGCCCCTGAGCTGAAGTGACCCCTGACGATATGATGTGGCCCCTATTGACAGCATCTGCTGCCAGAAGGTGGGGGGGGCGGTTAAGGAAGGACTAGAGGCTGTGGGTGGCTCTTCTCAGCAAGTGTCTTTTCCTCTCTGGCCCTCAGTGAACTGGTCTTTAAAGTGGGCTGATGCGTCCTACTCCTAGGACCTGTTGTGAGGACAGGATGATGGAAGGAAGCTCAGGGCCCGCTGCACCCTGGCACTGACAAGCACTCACTGAACATCTACTGTGGCCACAGCACTCTCACTTGTTTGCTCTCTAATGCCCAGGACACAGGCCAAGGTCAGGGACCCAGGCTCCTAGGAGGGTGACGGCCCGATTGGAAGCGCCCCAGCAAAGACTTAGATGACACTGCCACCTGGTGGCTGCCTGAGTTCGTGCACAGCAGGAATAGCAGCAATTTATTCCCTTTGGCTTTACCAGCACCCAGCGACATCCACCCTGTGCTGGGGCCAGGCATCAGCCCCCCACCGAGGTCCCCGTTTCTCAGGGCTCACAGGGTAGCAGCGGAGGGAATGCTCATCCCGGCCCAGCACAAATGCCGCCTCCCAGAGCAGATGCACAGGGCTTGGAGGCCACGAGGGAGCAAGGAGGGCTTCATGGGGTGGGGCCTTCACTTCTCAGAAGCAGAGAAGGGGCCTGACCAGGGAAGGGCATTGACAGCACAGAGAACAGCAGGTGCAAAGGCACAGAGGAGAGCCTGATGGAGCCCCAATGCCCATGAGGATAGTGGGGGCTCAGGACAGAGGGCCTACAGCTGTTTCCACAGAGACAACGACATGGATGGTTAGGCCATCAGCCTCAGTTTGGGAGAGAACAGGAGAGCTGTGGTGAGGACCCGAGGAGAGTCCAGGAGTGCTGCTGGCTAGGCACCATGTGTGGAACCAGGGGCGAGGGGAGGAGAGGGCAGGGTGGCTGGGCCACAGGGGTCGGGGTGTTTCAAAAAGAGCCACAGGGTCAGAAGGCAAGAGGACAGGCCTCCACTTCAAGGTGGAGGACTAGAGGCTGGGGCTAGGGTCAGAGGCTGGGTGTTAAGCATGCCCAGGGACCTCAGCAGGAGCTGCTCTGGGGGGAGGGGGTAAAGTTTCTAGAGAAAGAGTTGCCCAGTGTGGGAGGCAGGTGTGGACCCACCTCCAGGGCGAGAGATGGAACAGGCCTCCCAACCCTGAGAATGCACCAGTCCCCTGGGGTCCTGGAAAAATGCAGATTCTGACCCAGTAGGTCTGGGGTGCATTTTCAAATAGCTACCAAGTGACCCAATGCTGCTGGTCTGGGGACCAGTTTAGACAATTTCATGACACAATCACTGGGCCTTGGGCATGGACATGGACATGCAGAGAGGGAAGGGCCAGAGACCATGTGATGTGTGGAGAGGGGCTGGGGAGGGGGTGGGGAGCTACACTTTGGATGCTTCAAGGCTAAGTAGGGAGATGCCCACCTGGGGCAGGCAGCAGGGGTGAAGTGACGCTCAAACAAGAAGAATGCCCTGTGCCAGACCCCTACTGCCCTGTCGGGGCTGACCAGCCCCAGAGAGCCAGTGGAGGGAGGCTGAGTCCCAGCCCAGCGTGTCCACAGGCAGGGACCTGGGGTCGGGCCTGTAGACCTGCCTGGATGAGACAGGAGTGGGCTTTCTGGATGGTGGGTAGGGGAGCAGGACACTTCCAGGCCAGGGTGAGCAACTGGCTGGTCAGTAGAGGAGCCATAGTGGGGACACTGTGCCTTGTCCCAGTCTTTGTGGCCAGGAGTAGGGACAGGGAGGGGCATGGCTGGGCCTTCAAGGATGGATGGCTAAATTCCTATTTTGCTCATGCTCTGGGGCCAGAGAAAGTCATGACCTCACACACTTGCCTTCTCCTGACTCGACGCCTGAGGCACCAAGGGCCCCAGAAAGGCCAGGGTTGTGCACAGATTGCTGTCCCCTCCCACCCCTCTCCCTCGGGATTTTTTTCCCTTTTTAGGTTATTTGGCTGGAGAGAAGCGCTACCCTCCCCCTTGTTTTCCCTAACTCTCCAAATGCAATTTCAACATATGTCCCCCGACATAATCCCCCTCGGGCTGCAGCTAACCCTTCCCGCAGACGCCGTCCTGGTCCTCTGCCCCACCGCTTCTCCCTGCCGTGTTTGCCCAAGAGACTAGGCCGCTTCTGGAAGCCCTTTCACTCCCTTGGGCAAACAGTGAGTACCTTTGAAGGTGGATTTGGGCCCGGATCTGTTTACTCAAGACATTAGTCTCCTGCATAAGGAAAACCTGCACTCGCGCACAAACAGCAAATCCTTTTTGAATTAAAAAAAATTTCAATTAAAAAGCATTTGGTTTGCAAAGCCAAGTCCAACTGAGCAGCTCGGGGCCGGGGCGCCCTCTGGTGGGCATCAGCTGCCACTGAAGCAACACAGCAGCGGGGCCTGGGGGCTCTCCCAGGAAAGAGACGTCACTGTCAGGGGCTCTGCAGGGGCTTTCCTGGAAGCCCTGGGAACCAGGCCTCTCAGGCCACAGTGCGAGAGTCCCAGCTCCAAAAGGCCGTTCCCCATAGTGAGGCCAGTGTCCTGGCAGTGGGAGGTGCCACTGTGGTTCCCAGTTGCACCTTGAAGGCAAAGTCTCTTTAGCTCCAGCCTCACAGGCAAAGAGGGGGCTGTGTACTCACAAAGGGGTGGTGAGCAGCAACCAGGACGATTCGTTGACAACACCCTGAGGGTAATAAAAACCGAGCCCTGGTTATGCATCAGAGTCAAAGGTTTGAACCACAGTGATGCTGGGGCTCTCCTGGGATGGGGCGGAGGTGGACACCAGCATTTCTTAAAGCACTCAGGTGATTTCACTGGTCAGGCAGGGGGAGAACCACTGCCTGAAAGCAGTGAACAGAACACACTCTGACAGAGGGGAAAGGCAAGTGCACACACGTCCTTCCCGCCCTCCTTCACTGACATTGTGGTGGTCACACCAGAGGGCTCCAGGCAGCACCTGGGTTTTCCAGACAGGGAAACTGAAGACCAGGGGAGGATCTCACTCCCTGAGGTTTCAAGGTATGTCAGGGCTAGTGTCTGTACCCACCTCTCACAGTGCTGTGATTTGGAGGTGGGGCCAGACCACCAGATGTCAGCGAATGAGCAACGCCGGTTGGTATTGCAGTGAGTCACAAAATGGCCCGGAAAGGCATAGTTCAGAAGGCAGGGCTAGGGCTGGTGCAGGCCTGGAGGGGTCCAGGTGAGGACAGGTGCAGGGACTGAGGAGCCAAGGCTCGAGCCAGTGAGAAGAGCCTGGTGCAGGGGTGGACACACTGAAGGGGAAACTTGGGCAGGCAGCTGGGTCTGGCCCACATAGGTAGGGGCAGGTGGGGAGGTTCTGCACAGCGGCCCCA